GATAAACATACATTACTGGAAAAATAATTGTACTTGGTAAAAAAATCCTTTAATTTATTTTGCTTCTTTAATTTAATAGCCATTATTTCTATATCCAGCTATTCTGATGACATAGATTTGGTCTCCAGCAACATAAAACAGCATTTCTCAACTTAATTAGTAAAGTTCAAGAAATTTCCCATGCCACACCACAGAAAATTATAGAAGTATGATACATATAGCACTGTTTTTTCATAGTTGCAATGTTTGGTTCATGTGTATGACAATAATTTATAGTTAGTGAGATATTATGTACTTTGCATTATACTTTTGATGTTTTGTAACAGTTTTTAAAATATTGTCATCTAAGATTAAGCCTTTTTGCAGCCTACCTCAATTTGCTTTATAACCCAATAACGAGCTGCAAACCACCGGTTAAGAAATGCTGGTCTAAAAGCAAAATGCCTACTATGACATTCCAAGTTCTATCCAAGTATGTAATTCATATGATAGTAACTTTTCTTGATACATACTTCCTGTAAAAATGTGTTAAATTTTAAATTTTCTGAAATGCTAGAACATTAGCTCTAAACCACTATGATGAAAGCCACCACCTTCATAATATTATGCTTTGTATTTTTGCCAATAAGATAGAAGTCTGAAACTAATTACCTCCATTCACATGCTGATCTGTAAATCTGAAAAAAATATATCGATTTTACATACATCAGACTGACCAGCAGCTTCTACCAATCTGCCAATCAACTAGCTTTTGAAACAGTCTCTGACTGGCATTTAACAGTTAATGGAAATGCTGAGGTTTTGTGGTTTTAGTATTGGAATCCAATATCTTCCAGTTGTTGGGAGGAGAAAGGGAAAGTATTTCAGAGGTATCTGTTTGAAATTAATTTTAATTCTCAAAATGTAAAATTCAAAACAGGTAGATTTACATCTGAAATATGAAAACCCAGGGTACCCACACTGAGATAGAGGAGGAAACTGAAGCAAGTTATAAGTCATCCAGTCTATTGAATATACTCTGGTTCTAGATTTTCATCAATTCTCCTTGATCATATTTTCAGTGTCATGGTCCAGGATATTACCCTCTGACCTAAGACTTTAATGGGATAGATTCATTGAAAAATGAGTGGTGTGAATCAGCTTTATTAAATCTGACCAAATGAGGACACTCGAAAAATACATTATTTACAGCAGGGTACCACTTCATCCTCACTACCCTTTAAATATATAAAAAAGGGTAAATTGGACAGTATGTATTTACCTGTGGAACCATCACATTCTCAGATGTAATTATAGGTGGTGGCAATGCTTTGTTACCCAAGTGGAAGATTAACAGAAGACCATAAATATTTCATAACTGGACATACTCTTGGTGCTAAGACCTCTCACAACTACATCTGACAAGGTGGCTGGCCAAATCATAAAATTTTCTCAGTCAGTAGGCACCCAAGGAGAATTGAAAAACCAAGACAGACCCAATAATGGATCAGATAACTGTAGGACAGTGCAATGGGGACACAAAATAGTCCAAGAAAGATAAAGATTAAGCATTAAGGTCTATGATGGATGAAGCTGAGACATCATATTGAGAATGGTCAACTTGTCGAATGATACCTGCCGAAACATCATAAGCCATCAAATGGCATCCTCTGTCCACCTCCACAGGCCATCACCCGTTCGTAAAGTAACAGTGCAAATGGTAGGTACTTGTTAGGGTCAAAAGGAACAAGTAGAAGTAACTTACATCTACTGAGAAGTAGATGAGGAAGGCAAAGCACAAAGATGAAGATTACTTGTTGGTCATCTTGGAAGGAATGACTATGAATATGTTAAAATCTTAATCAAGTAGAACAGGAGACTAGTTGGGTAAGATCCTGCAAAGACAAATTATGCAGAGAAAAAGCTTCTTCAAGGTCAGTTGAAAATAGGGGGTGGGATGAGTACTTTGTGATAAGAGAAACTAAATCAGTTAGAGTTACAACTAAGGAAGACTGCAAGATGAAATTTTATTCTGATTAAAAGAATGAAAGCAGCTCATAGCTAGTAATTACTCTGAAACAGAAAGTCTCAAATGAAACAAGACATAATATGCAGGGCAAAAACTGACAATAGACGAAAACAGAAGACCATCTGGAAGACCACAACCACCAAAATAATCTGAGGGCCTAGAACTCAAGAAATTCAATGACCTTATAAAAGGCTAGTAACATGCAGATGATTCTTAAAAGCATCAGTAATGAACCAAGCATCAGAAGGGAGAAAATACAAAGATTCATGAACTGAATCTTCCAACATGATATTAGCATGCTCAGGTATAACAGAAAATATCTGAGAAAAAAAAAAATGAAAAATCAGACCAGCAAAAGCTTTTTCAGAATTAGGACTAGCAGGCAAATCCTGTTCTTCATACAATTCAGGTGAATGGGCTTGAGCAAAAGAGTGTTTTTGGGATTATCATCATTATTTTTTTATTTTTAAATCATCATCAAAAGAAAAGGGGCAGACACTTTGCAATGGAGTGTTAACATGAATGTGAAAACCCCAGGGATACCAGTAGACAATACAGAAAAAAAATGTCTGAATTCATAAATCAATGTAACAAATTTATCATAATGTATTTATTTTTAATATGAACATTGTTTGGATTGAATTTGTATTTAGAAATAACCGTGACTTGTAGTATCAGATATGTGTTGCGTATAACGAATTTGTTATATATTTATTTTAATGTCATCATTTGTTTCAAATAAGTTTATACTTGAGGGCATGTCTAGCTTACTGTGTTAGTTACGTATGGCAAAACTCCCTCCAATTCTCAAAGATTGTAGAATATTCGTGAACACAAGAATCAACAATATATCCACTTCCGTAGCCGGTATTATCAGAAAGTTCTAGAAAATGTGTCTCACCTATGAAAACAGCAGGGCATCGTGCCAAAAGAGAACAGAGAATATACAAATCTGCAAGGAACCCGTTATAACCATGATTTTGCTAACCCTTACCAACCGGAAATATACGACACTTGGCCAGGAACAGCTATAAATTTCAAACGTCAGTAAATTCTCATCAAATATTAGTATCTTTCCAAAAAATATTTCTGGTTTCTCATCAGACATTAGTGGTTTTATGAAAATATTATCTTACTTCGCCTGTCCAACAATTCGGTGCCTGACAAAGCTAGCTAGCTTCCCAATAATTGTACATTGACTTCAGATTGACTTGCTGGATTTCAAGGAGACTCTGAACTAGGAAGACAATTTTAGGTTATTTGTAAGTTAGTGAAATTTTTGTTTATGAAACTTGTTTTGTAATGATTAATCGTAATAGTTGCCATTGTAAATTATACTGTTGTATATATATATATATTAAAATGTATTTGTGTCAAAACAAAAATGGTGTGAATCAATCTTGTTGGCAAATAGCATAAATTAAATAAAATATCAGCATATTTCTAAACACTAAATCCAGGGTACAGTTCAATTATTAAAAGTTAAATTATTTAACGTGGCTTTCGGTTATTTCAAATTCTCAATACGTAACATCAGTATGGGCCAACAATACAGCCACACTCCCTGTATGCTAGAGGCAAATAAAATAGGTAAAGTCTCAAGAGAAGCCATACAAATTTTGATTTTGGTAGGAACTCTCATAGAAGTAGTAAATATTGACTTCTAAATTCACAGTGACTGTAGTTAACAGCAAAACAATCAAAAAGAAAATCTGAATTATGGCAGGAAAATAAAGCTTATATACATCCTTCTAAAAACAGTGCAGTAAGTCATGTGGAAAGGGGGAAACTAAGTTTATGCATGCTCTGCATTGTATCAAGGACATTCAGAGTTTTAGTCATATATTTGATAAAAATGTCATAGCAACTCAACATTAAAAAGTTTTATTGTATTTCAGAGGTAAGTCTGCCTGTTTTCAACACATATACTCATAAATAAACTGATATCTCAAAAAGACATCATTTTAAAGTCAGAAATAGACATGTTACACAAAGTCATAGTAGTCATGTGCAACATTTCATTTTTCACTTTGGAATATATTATACACATTACAAACAACCACAATTAGTCAAGCTCAAATTCACAACTGATTGTAAAAAAAATTCAAATAATAGCTACATGTATTTCACAAACATTATCAACTAACCAACTGGTGGAAAATGAATAAATTATTTTTTTTACTAAAGACAGAAAGTCAGTTTTAAATTTACTTTCAGATGTGTTATTGCATTAGTGCTTACAAGTGCCTATAAATGTTATTTTGCAAGTTTTTTACAGCCCCTGTCAATATATAAATGACATGATGCCTACTATTTTTGCTGGTCACTGTAAAGATTTAGAAAGAATGAGAACAATATGATATTATTGTATTTATAGGATTTAATATGTCACAGATTGTTTTTTCAACAATGCTTTAATTCATCTCTCAACCAGCTCAGTGATCTGATTTGTTTGAACTATATTTTTCTCTATGGTATTGTATAAATCATTATCAAATTTTATTGAAATGTGACAATACTTTATCAATTTAGAATAAGATATGTATTATCCAATACTCTGTTTTCTAGGAGCAGCCATATTTATACCCCATATTTCAGGAAGCAGGTCATGATTTTGTTCTTTTTGAAAATGAATTAAAAGCTAAATATTTATCAGTTTCCTACATATTCTTTACAATAGTGAAACCTCTTATAAACTACAACTAGAAAAAAGAAAAAGAAAAATGTCAACAGCCCCATGGGACTGTTTATGGATAACATCCCTTTTCAAACACAAAAGAACAGGTCATTAATTTCTAAATACATGTACATCTTTTAATTGTAACTTACAAGAGATTACACATTATGCTGAATCAGTTATCAACTGAAGGTGCACTGCACTTAAGATGGTCTCGTACAAAAGGAAGCAGATAATGATTTCCTGTTCCATAAAACACTAGTATTGTACAAAAACATATATCATACTTTGATAATAAAGTTTAAATTAACTCACATTTATAGAGGCTAGACTTCTGTAACACTGAAGAACTTCAAGATGTGGAGATAATGTTTGTAATCCATTTATTATACAAAGAGACACTTTCTTCACTTCCAGTTCTTTCAAATTATGAAATTTTGATATATCAACATTTGATGGCACTGGTTGTGGACTTGGTATAATCTAGGTATAAGCAAAAAAAAAATTTATGGATGAGTTTAATGTGTAGATACATCATTCACTGGCTGCCAGATTAAATTATTTTTATACATATATATCCTTCTTGCAGAACACGAAACAAAACACAAGAGCTGGTTTAAAATTACTTTTATATACTACCACAAATTTAGATATAAAATATTACAAAAAAAAGAGAGTAACTTTACGTTACTTTCATAGATTAATAAAAACTTGCATATAATGTTTAACATGTTTTTAAAAGTAGAAAAAAACTTTGTGTGTGTGTGTTTTCTTATATCAAAGCCACATCGGGCTATCTGCTGTGTCCACCAAGGGGAATCGAACCCACAATTCTTGTGATGTAAATCCAAAGACTTACTGCTGTCCCACTGGGGGACAAAAAACATTTCATACAATACATATATGTGGCTGATAATAAAATCAAAGTTAACATCTTCCTATACTGAAAATGTATTTTCAATAAATATTCCCTTTTGTACTCAGAATTGCTATATTTCTTGAGTGTCTGCATAAAAAAAACTTGCATGCCACTAGTCTTGAGTTAACTTCCACCTAAATTCATGTGTTTAACATGAACAGTAGGAAGCATCAAAGGCATAGATATTCGAACAACAATGACAATAGGCGAGAAGGAGAAGAATGATGAAACAATAAACTTGAAGTCAGCAGCTCAAAAATAGCCAGTGGAAGAGCATGAAAATTGTAACAAAATCCCAGTCAGGCAGGGGAATAGGATGAGTAAGTCGACAAAGAATACCATATAGCAACTAGAAATACAAAATGTAGACGAAAAAGCTGCCCCAAAACTAGCAATCCATGGTTAAACAACCAAGTGAAAAGGGCCTAAAGGTGGACCAAAGTAGGATGTAAATGCAGATGGACAAATGTAAAAAAAAAAACATAACTAATAGAAAGACAGAGGTGAAGGACAACAGGAATGGGATTAGAAAAAGGACACATGACCAGACAGTCCAGCCATGCAGGAAATGGACTAAACAAACCCAACATGTGAAAATGAAGGGACCAAACCCCTGGAAGAGAGAGAGATGCTGTAGGAACAAGAGAGAAGGAATGAGGCAGAGGAAGATGGGGACCAGATGCCAAATGAAGGAGCAGAGTAAAGCAGGGCTGAACATGCCAAAGAGGTACCACCAACAGAACCTAACAAGGCAGGTCAAGTATCAAAGTGAGGACATGAGGTAGAAGACAATGAGGAGTGAAAAGTGAAACTTGTCCCAGCTAATAACATTGGCTGATACGGCCAGAGAAAGAGGAACTGGAAACCATAAGAGGGGAAGTGTGGAGTGGAGTTGAGAGTAATGAAGGTAGTGATGAGAGGCATTCCCAACAGAGCAAACACAATGAAAACGGGCAGTAGGAAGATCACACTGTGGGTTGAAACCTGGTAGGACGAGAGAGACAGATTGCCACCAAGTTCAGAGCCCTAGGCAAAAGACTAGCCATGGGACAAACCTGATAGGACAAAACTCTCAAAATATCAGGTCCAACGTGTGGAAGCAGAGTCATGCAACATATGCTCCTTTGACAGTTGAAATAAGCAATGATCAGTGAACAGCCAAAGTGGATCCTGACCAATTGATCCATGAAAAGAGGGATGAAATGGAAAACACCCAACAGACAACAAGAAGGTAAAGGACATAAATGTTGAGTGAATGCTCATCTGGAGCCCACAAACATGTAAGTGATCACAGATGCCCTCAGTCTGCAGACTGATTGATCATTTTCTTGAATACCTTAGGTCTGTAAAAAGATGGCTCCACTGACCTCCCAGTTCCTAGACACTTTAATTCTCCTGACTTCCGACATGGTAGACTCAGTCATGAGAAATGCATCATTCAACAAATTAAAACGAGAAAGTCTTGAACACTGTCTTTTCTTCCAACTCAACACCAAGTCCCCTTGTGGTATAAATGAAAGATGTACTTTCAAATAATTACTAAACTCCATCAAGCCTTCCTCTAATTTCATCCATTAAACCTTTTCTTTAAACACATTTACCTTATCTCTTATTCCTGGTTGAATTTTCTTCTTTAACCTTACCTATGTGAAATTCTTCTCCTTATAATTATTTCCCTAGATTATTATTTTATTTTATTAGGCTATTATTTTATTATTTGGCATATTTATGTTTATTATTTCTAAATCCAATTTTAGTTGTTCTAATTTTTTTCACACTCCTGCTAATTTCAATAATGTTTGCATAATACATTCAGCAATGTTTTTCTCTATGCTTTTGTCACTGTGCTCCATGTTGAAAGTGTGTAATTAAAAGCTTTGTAATATTTTATCTTTTAATGATTATTTCTAGCCTAATTCCATTGTAACATGATCTTTAGCACCTGATGAAGGGCACCTACTCAAAATGCTACACAAGTTAAACTGGAAAAAGGTTTCATTTAGATGTGTCAATATATTCTTTATTATCATTTATCCAAATTTTTCTTCTCACATCTTGCAAAATAATACTCCTTACGAGATGATATACTGCTGTCACAAATACATCAAGTATAAATCAATGACACCATTGGTATAACAAATATCAAAAGTAGAGAAATCTTCCTGTTGATATACGCCACCATAGTCAAATTGTCTGTATGCAGTATACAACAGTGGTTGTTTCACAAGGTCAAAAACTCATGACATTCATAGTGAACAGCCCAAAGCTTCAACAAAATGATATGAGGATTAGATATCTGAGAAGACTAGAGACCTGAAAGATGATGGACCCCAATAAATCACCCCAATCATGGGGAAAGAGACATCAGTGAAACGATCCAGAGCCAGAAGAGGTGGAAGAAAAGAAAAACTTACAATGAGAAAATCATGATGAACCACACTTGAAGGTAATTGAGACCAATAAAAAAATATTACAATAGACAAAAGGTATCAGAATATATTATTGGAGTAGCAAGATCCCATTCACAGTGGGAGGCAACCACTGAGTGAGAATCACCTAATCATTCATGTAATGATGACAATCAATAGTGTGTGTGTGTAAAAGACCAGCTAATAGTTTAACTACACATGTAAAGACAGAGGGTGCTGAAGAAAGACTGAAAAGAAAGGCACAAAAACTGATATGTTACTACACAATGGGAAAAATGAAGATATGGAAGAAACTGATGTGTGTGAATCAAGACACAAAAATACGTATCTCTGAAATCTCTGGTCATTATCTTAAAAACCCTGAAGAAGGAACTTTCATAAGATCCCCATAGGTTCCACCTAGAAAGTAGGAGAATATAGCAAGCAAATGAAACAGAAAAGATAAAAAATAATATCCAATCTCTTTGGCATTGCAAAAAGTTGAGAGGAAAATACTTAGAAAACATGAAGAACAACATCATTATCCCCTTGTTGTGGAAAAAGTTTGAAACTACTGGATCCAAAATTGAGAAGAATGTGGAGGAGTTAAAATTGGATGATGAACAGAAAATCGATTTGAAGAACCTGATGAACATAAAGAAAATAAAGCCAAGAGACCATAGATGAACAAAAATCTAAGATGACTACCAAAGTCTGAATGGAGGAGTCATCCAGGACAGAGTCAATAAGCAAGTCATAAAAACACACCATGCTCATATTGACACTAGGCCACATGAAAAGTAAGAATAGATGTAGTGAACACTGAAGAACATCACATAAAAGACATTAGAGTGAAATGATGACCAGAAGCAAAACAAAATGCTAAAGTTATAATTTCCTATACTTGAAATATATTTTGGAAAGGTACTTACCTCCCTTCACATATATATAGCTATTCTCATTCAGTGCTGCCCTCTATTAGTAAATATTTTGTCACATGCCACAAGCTTTGCACCCCCACTTACCTATGATTATTGTAGTTCCACTTCGTCTTGCATGCAAATTATCATGCGACAGCCCTCTACCAATAGGTGTGATACAACCTCCTGATGCATGTGTCTTCCTCTATTCGATTCTATCAAACTATCATTTCAAGTTTAGGCAGAAAAGAAAATACCAGTTTTCAGTGGGGTGGGAAGTGTGAGAGGAGGTAAGGTGACAGCCCTCTACCAATAGGAGTGCGATACAACCTCTTGATGCATGTGTCTTCCTCTATTCGATTCTACCAAACTATCACTTCATGTTTAGGCAGAAAAGAAAGCACCAGCTTTCAGTGGGGAAGGAAGGGTGGGAAGTGTGAGGGGAGGTAAGTATTTATCAGAAATATATTTTCAGTATAGGAAAATTATAACTTCTCATAAAGTACATTACCTCCTCTCACATATATAGCTAGAATCCCACACTGAATATGCAGAGGGGCCAGTGTGAGGAATATAAAGAAACATCCTTCAAAAGCATCTGAAGAATACTCTATACTGATTATACTCATGATAAAGAATTATCCTTGGGAGACAACACCACTTCTGTACTAGGTATACTCTTTGTCCAGTGTGCAAAGAGATGTTGCAGTCACAGGCCTAAAAAAAAGGAGAAGCACAACCAAAAGGGAGAGAAAATGGTGGGATTGGAATCTAAGCCACTTACGAACATACTCTCAATCTCAATGAACAAAAGCTATAGATGAATCTTCTACAGACAGTAATGTAAGGGAAAGTGAAACTGGAAGTGCTCCAAAGTGTAGAGTGGCTAGAGCGTAGTGGACCATACATGGCCAGTCAACTACAGGCCAAAACCAAGCAGTATCGGGAATATACCCCCTATCCATCGTAGAAGGAGGGTCCACACTGTATTCACTTCAAGTTCCATAGAATGAAATTATATACTGTGCAAGCAAACCTGAAAAACAGACACACATGCACAATTCACAACTAACTAGACATCTGGGACCCTGACATCTGAATGACTGGTCCTGCTTGAAATCAATAACCAGTCACCAGGAACTGACATCCATGTGAAGGTAGGATGAAGGATCCCAATCAATTGGGTGAAGTGCAATGTGACGAATCAACCCCAAAGCAACATCATCTCCATGGACA